TGTGTAGACGAGTGAGTGAGAGAGAGAGCCATACTGCTGAGAGACTTGGCGGCCATACCTGGCAAAGTGCACATATGTGAGACTTGTTGTATAAGACTAGAATTTTCCAGCAATTTCCAAAGTGTTTTCATAACCGCATCAGTGTGCTTCTCCTGTGTATGAAGCCTCGTGTGATGAAGCATTGACTTGTGTTGTTGTGACAGCAGTCTGCAAACCGTGGGATCTTTGCAATGATGGAAAATCATAAAATATGACCAAAAAAGGCGAAAAACAACAAAAATCATAAAAAATGGGACAAGGACCAGCAGGGAAAATCTCGCACTCTTACTGCGAAAGATTCTAAGTGGGGAACCTGGATGGAACATGGCATTTGGCAGAGAAATTGAGTGAGATCTTGTCCTTAATCCTGGAAGGCTGGACCAGAATACTTCAGGGACCACGACGTTGGGATTTTGGGGAGTGGGCCTCCTGGTCCAACAGGGACAATCCAACAGAAGCATTTAGAACCGGGGGGCAAGCGGGACCGGGAGGGGAATGGCTGAGCGCGCAGATGTACACAATTCAACTCCCAGGGGCCTATACAAGCCAATTGGACAAGGATACGTGCACCCCGATCACCATAAAAAAGGACCAGCTGAGGAAAGTGAGGGGGATAGAGATGGAGTTCACGATATTTGCTCCAGCAACGGACATTCAGAATCTGGAGATCGACCCAGTGGAGTGGGCCTGGAATCTCAGGGGGGGCGTCCTAGGCAAAACAAGAAGGACTAGCATACTCCACTACACAACCAGGCTGGGCTACAGACTCAGGAAGCGCTCAGCTCCATTAGCCGAACCCTTGGCACTTAGGTGGGAGAAGAGAAAGCATATACCGAAAGAAAAAGTGGCAAAATTACCATGGTCATCCCTACATCAGATCCGCCTAAGTAGGGTAAGGAGTTTGCAGTGGCTGATCTTTCACGTGGCAGTCCCGGTCAACTCGTGCCTTTTTGAGCGCCGCAGTCAACATCATCGTGACCCCACCTGTCAACAGTGCACACAATGTACAGAAGGAGCACTGGAGACTCTGCGTCACTTTCTCCTTTTCTGCCCAGAATCAGGGTACCCATGGGACGAAGCCAGGACGCTATGGGGCAAAATAACAGACTCCTCTTTCCCTGAGCGTGAGGAGACACTACTGATAGGAAGTGACCTTCCAGCAGCTTGGCATCAGTACCAAAAGTGCACATTCCAGCTTATAAGGCAATATGTACTGTGGACAATATGGAAGCGCAGATGCCAGCAGGCCATCGGAAACAAGCAAATGCACAGGCGGGAAGCGAAGGAGACGCTCTACAACCTGGTGGAAACGGACATACGGGCTCAATGGAAGGGAATCAGTAAGCAGGCCCAGCAAAACCCACTGCAAGCCAAGGATCTAATGGAGAATTTTCAGAAAAGGGTCTTGGCTCAAGGAAGGATACCATCAGTGGAGGGCTCGACATTGAGCTTCCAATGTTTTGATAGGTAGACAAGTTTAAGAAGACTCAGCTAGGGTTTAGGGTTTAAGTAGAAGTATTTAAAAGTACGGGTAGGATAGCAACAGTAGAAGGCCTGAAGTTGAGCTTCCATTGCTCTGAAAGGTACATAAGTTAAGCTAGGGTTTAGGGTATAAGAATTTAGAAATTTATTTTCTTCTTGCATCGGGTCCCTCGCGGGTGTCTCGTCAAAAAGGCATAACACTGGGTAAGGCTCCCAGGTCCGTTCTTTATGTGGGGTGGCTGGCCCCTTTTGGTTTTAATAAGACAGTTTGTTTTGGGGAAAAAAAGAAGAAGAAGAAAAAAAAAGAACTCAATAAGAGGCCTGAGCAAAGTGGAAGGCCATAATTTGAGACACGAATGAAAAATGGCAAAGAGTCTAGCTTTCCAGGCCACGCGCCCAGGCCACCCAACCACGCCCAGAATGCCACACGCATCGCCTGGCTGGGAAACCCTCCCGCACGGGCTTCCAGGCTGTCCTCGAAAAAAAAGTTTGCACCGCCAAGGGGGGCCTGGAAGGTCAACGAATCTTTTGGTGGCACACAATTCTTTTGGGGGGGTGGTAGGCCCAACTTTTTTGCTGTTTTCGGGTCTGGGTTACTGATCGACCCAGATCGACAGCCCAGGTAAGAACCTGGATTCAAAATCGAAACTGGGTTGAAGTCTATGCTGCTTTGGTCTATCACGAGTGTCCACCCATGCTGGTTTTGCCGTTGCTCCCCGCTGCTTGTCGTCGTCATCTCGTTGTCATCACCACACTCCCCCTCCATGACCGCCGAGCCATGCATGGTGATGGCAGCAGCTCCAGCAGCAGCCTGCCGCGGTGGTTGTCGAGGCGGGGGTGTGGTGCCATCCTCACGAAGGTGAGGATCTTCTTCTTCTTCTTCTTCTTCTTCTTCTTCTTCTTCTTCGTCGTCGTCGTCGTCGTCGTCTTCGTCTTCGTCTTCTTGCACGACTAGCGTGCCACACCCATTGCTGACCTCTTCCCCCCATCGCCGTTCGCCTCTCTGCTCCGCGTCCTCCCATCGCCACCCTCCAACCCTATCACCCATTGCAATCCTTCCTCCAATTGCCTCCCCTGTCCCGTCGCCTCCCTCCTACCCCCATCGCCCATCCCCTCCCTCATCCCCCATCGCACACCACCTGCCTCCTCCCCCATCGCACACCGCCTGCCTCCTCCCCCATCCCCTCCCTTCTACTATTGCCTCCCTCCTCCCAATTGCCCATCGCCTGCAACATCCTACCATCACCTCCCTCCTCCCCCATCATCATCGCCTCCATAACCTGCCTATTGCCTCCCTCCTCCCTAATTGCCCATCGCCTCCAACATCCCACCATCACCTCCCTCCTCCCCAATTGCCCATCGCCTCCAACATCCCACCATCACCTCCCTCCTCCCCCATCACCATCGCCTCCATAACCCCCCTCCCCTCCCCCCCCACACACACAGAACCTGACTTAGAGAAAAAGGAAAGACATCTGATTTCAATAATGCTGCTAAAGCGCAGGGAGGGTCCACAGTTGGGAGGGTCCACAGTTGGGGGGAAAAAGAAAAGAAAATTCCGGGTTGAGTTTTACCGCGCCTGGGGGTATGTTACATGCCCAGTTGGGCGATGTACATAAACAACCGAGGATCCGCAATGTGATGAAAAGGACTGAATGGACAATGCAGTGTAAGTGAAACCTCAACAAGCAGTGTACATCCTGATACATACAAAAATGGTGCTTTATAGCGCAGGGGAAGACTTAGATACAAGTCCTGACCTGACCGGGACTGACCTCTATCACGTACTGCAAGACAGCGCAGCAGAATGCTAGAATACCAATGAGTAGCCCAATCAATGTCGCAACGCAGACCAAACATACATCATCCTCATCACAAGGTGTGAAGGGGCCTGGCGCTACACACAGGAAGAATGCGCCAGGTCCAGATCCTGTCTCTTATACACATCTAGATGTGTATAAGAGACAGGAGGGGAACAGACGAAGAAGAGGGGGAGAGATGGGAATGTCGTCAACACCAAGTCTTTGTTACAAGCCCCAAATAATCCCTCGTCAAAATGTCTGAAGCCCCATGTCGAGTCTGGATCCAACTGTCACCAAGCCCGCTCTCTCATAGTCTGCTGATGCAGTGAAGTCAGGTAGCTAGAGGGTGAGAGGGAGATGGTGGACTGAGAAGAGGACGAACAAGAACTCTCTCTCTCTCTCATGTGCCAGGTACTAACCTGTGAAGATGGCGCTGTGCTGCAGGTACCTCGAAGGCGAAGCTGGAGCTATGGCGCTGCAGGTAAGTATCCCTGGCCTCCGCCCAATCTCTCTCTCTCTCCAGTACTACTCTAGCTCCTACTAGTGCCCAGCGCTGAAGACTATTGCTAACGCTACTAGCGCCCAGCGCTGAAGACTACTGCTAGCGCTACTACTACTCCTGCAGCGCTCCTCCAGAGTGCTGCTGCCGAATCCTGGAAGACTACCTCCTGCCTCCTGAACTGCACGTTAAGTGCCTGGGAAGTACCTAGGAACTACTACCTGCAGCCTGCAGGGTGGGCCAGTCTTATATAGTGCTGGCCCATCCAGGAGGCTGCTCTTGCCAATGCCAAAACGTGCCAGACCCTGGGGTTGAAGCTCAAACAAAGGTTGACTTGAAAATAGGCCAAAAATGGCCTGAGCTAAAACCCTGGTCCGGTGCCTGAGTTTGAGGGCAGGTCGATCTTATGAGGTCCTGAAAATGGCCCTCAGTTTCAGGCTGAAAAGACTCAGGGCCAGAAAGGCCCTGATTTAGGCTGAAACGACACAGGGCCTGTAGGCCCTTGTTTTCAGGCTTTCAGGCTGAAACGACAGAGGGCCTGTAGGCCCTTGTTTTCGGGCTTTCGGGCTGAAAACGACACGGGCCTGAAAATGGCCCGTGCAGCCTGTTGCAGGCGCTGCATGTAACAGGTAGGACCCCACCCCGGGTGTCGGACATGGGCATGGCGCCCAGTCAGGTGCTTGGAAAGCTACCGAAAACCGCAAAAATTGCCAAAAAAATAACGAAAATCATTTGAAAATTTCTGGAACACACAGGAAACGACAAAAACTCAGAAAAAGACAAAAATTGACAGGAAATGATGGAAAATGACAGAAAAGGGCGTACCTGTACATCACAGTCTTGATGAAGAGTGGGGTGCTGGTAAGGTCAATTCCCTCAGATTGGGCGATTCTGATCTGCGAAGATAGAGTTCGGATATTCTGGGATATGGCGCTGACGACAGTTGTCATGACCAGCATGTCGGCCGTCAGACTGAGCAGCTGTTTCACGATCACATATAGATAAACGCACCATGGACTTCGTCTCTCTCGGTCATTCCATCGTTCACGGAGAGAAGAGTTTCGTGGATTGCAGAAAACAACCGGCTTATCCATTAAAGTTAAAACTCATTTTTTTACAAATGCAGTCACCCCTCCTCTCTGCCAGATATACATTTTTCTGAATTGTTTTTCCTCCAATGCCACTCACAACATCATTCATTCATGGGCACAAACTTTTTTTTTTTTTTTTTTCACCACAACCAGCATTCATTTGTGAAGGGAGAGACTGATTCTCCAATGCCAACCCAACCCATGTGGACGAATGGTGCGCCAATGTAACTGTTCATAAACAGCTCAAGAAACCACATCCTGATTTAACTCAGATGAATCAGAGATGAGCATTTTTTTTTTGAATCGGCACTTCACCCGACCCGGCCATAATTTTTTAAGCACAACCCACCCTCAAAGAAACAAAAACAAAAAATCTCAAGGTGACCCACCCCACCTGAGTGTTTTTTCGAAAATTTCCCCCGACACCCAACCCGCCCGTCACCCGTAAAAAACCTTCACCCTGACCCACCCACACCCGCAAGAACAAAATTACCCACCCGCACCCGGTACCTAATTATTTTCCACCCGCACCCGCTCATTCCCCATTGTCTCAGTCTCTTTGAACATTTGCAGGCACCATAGCAAAATGACATCCTTGGATGATGGCCCAAAACTTTGAAGCATCTCTGCATGCGGAAATTCAAATCGCTCCACAAGTTTGAAATTAGCTAGTGAACCTAAGGCTGGCCACTTGCTGTGGTTAGGTCCGATCCCCGTTGTTTTAATGGGAGCGAACATCTCGTTGTTTGGGCCAAGGTCCAGCTGCCACCAGTATAGCGTGACACATTTTTTCAAGGAGGACCCCAAATTTTGATTTGCCACTGGCACGGGTCTTTTTTTTTTAGGACCACAACTTCTTTTCCCAGGGGCCCCACGGTGGAGACTTTCCGTTTCCTGGGCCTCCAACCTTTGAAGTTCACAGATGGACCGCAGCTGGGAAATATGTATAAGGGGGGGGTGGGGGGGAGGGTTCTTATGGGTTGTCCTGGGTCTGTGGGTTGGGTGACCCAGGCCTAGCGCTCACCCGCTTGTCACCCACCCATTCGGGTGACCCTGGCCTAAAATTGACCCGCCCGTCACCCACCCAGGCTTGCTCGCCTAGACCCACCCTCATCCCACCCATGCCAGCTTATCAAGACCCACACCTGACCGAATGCCTCGTGGGTGGGGTGGGTGCGGGTGGGTGTGGGTCTGGGTACCCATTGCTCATCTCTAGAATAATGCTACCGTCTTCGCCCGAAGAGAACGTGCGGTCATTATAGCCGTATTTTTTGGTCCAATTTTCGCTCCAGATACAGCTATAAAATGACCGGGCGTTCTATTATGTTGAACATGGTGGGGACTACCACTCCAAAAAAAAAAAAAAAAAAAAAAAAAAAAAAGCCTTGATTACAATGTCCATGGGCGCAAATTCGACATATGATGTCTGGATGCAGAGAGTGCATGCAGTCAGGAAACGACGGACGGCCGTCTGCACATGCGGATGGCAGAGACAATGATGCCTGCAGCGAAGTGTAACAGTGTCTGTAGCTGTGCATAGGAGAAGGTGGCATAGGGGCAGAGAAGTGACCTTTGACGTAAAAGAGTGTACGGACGAGTTCACTGTGGCAAGAAAACATCATCATGATGTAAGGAAATCGCTGACATGAATCATAGCATCAACCCTGGTGCCGTTGTCCCACAGCTCCCAGTGGTCAGAGGCATGGACAGCAGCAATGTAATGGCCAGGGCCACAGACAGTGTAGACAGAGACGTGGGATGGAGGATGAAACCTCTCACCAAGCTGGCTATAACGCAGTTCAAGCTGGAGGTCCCTCATTGCTACTCGTAGAATCTCAATCGTAAAGCCTACTTCCCTGGTATAGTTACAATCCTCTGGCTCTAGGCAGGGAAGAGCCACATCAAGCTAGAGGGGAATTGCAAGAACATCCGAACTCCGTATAAGGCGGGCATTGGAGAATGTGCAGACAAGCATCAGTAGCAGCCAGACTGCAGAGATTGCGCAGTTATCTCAATGACGTTAGACGAAAAAGGACAACACAAATGTCCCTCAGGATTGTCAGAAGGCTGGAGAGCCGGATACTGGGCAACAACTTGTAGGTTATCCCACCTTCTCTCTCTCTCTCTCTCTCTCTCTCTCTCTCTCTCTCTCTCTCTCTCTCTCTCTCTCTCTCTCTGTCTCTGTCTCTGTGTGTGTGTGTGTGTGTGTGTGTGTGTGTGTGTGTGTGTGTGTGTGTGTGTGTGTGTCTGTTGCGTGACATGTGGGCTCGGAGGCAGTACTCCAGGGGGGGTTGGTTCAAGCCGGTAGCCACGATGGAACGATGGGAACACGAAGGGGCGCGGCAGACAAGGCTCTCGTGTGGTCCCGGTTCCATATCCATCCTGGAGAGCATCAGTCCTGTTCCTTTTCCCCAGCCAAGTCATAGACTACATCATGTACACCCTCAATCTTGCGTAAGGCCGACGGACCCCTGAAAGAGCAATGGTTACTCCATACTCATGGAGGATTGACTGTCATCTTGCCCTCCTCCTAGCGTTCCTCTCAGAATCCACGTACAAGAACCGGCCAGATTATAATTAACAAAAAAATTGTGAAGGATAGGTGCTGACCAAGCAATGTCTGTTGCTGATAAAATCTCCCGAGGTTCTCCGCTGGACTCTTCCTAATCTCGGAACGTCGTGGGTTCCCTGATGGGTTAAGTTTGACTGTACTTTCTTTGCTGAGGGTTAACATCCTGGTCCCCCGCTGGACTCTTCCTCATCTCAGCACACCGTGGGTTCCCGAGATGCGGGCTTGTGTTTCTTGAGTATCAGTTATCTGCCGCCTGGAAGTCGTCTCTGATTTTTTTGTGCCACAGTCTCCACCTGAGATTGACACAGTGGGCATGAGCCACCTTGCCCATAGCTTAGATAACCAAACACACTTGAATTTTGGCTACAAATTCCTGCTCCATGTACGGCTTTATCTGAACTGCGACTTTGACTTTATTACATTATATGATTATAATATATTAATAATTTAATATCAAGAAAAATCAAAATTGAAAATACTGTTACGATCCTGGCCAATTTTGAAGTCCACAATCATCAGAAAGTACAATGTTGTCCAATTGCGAAAAGAAGTGAATGAACTTGAGCCCAATGCCGTCCAATTGCAAAAGAAATGAAAGAACTTTGAGAGGAGAGAGAGGGAAAGAAGAAGAAGAAGAATCAAGAAAGAAGAAAGAGATGATGTACTCCAGCATAGACCAAAGACAAAGCTCTTCTTCTTCGCTCAACAACCTCCTCCTCTTTATCTCCTCCTCTCTTATTCAAACAATAAATAAACAATAATAATGTTGAACAGCTGAACCAGAATCAATGTCCGAATCCCACTTCTACTGCAGGCACAAGATGAGGTCCACCATAGCCATGGAAGCCCTTCTTCTTCCTCCACATACAGGCCGAGGCTATGGCGGACTACGGAGGCTTCAGCCTCCTGTACAAGAGACAACTCAAAGCAGCTATGCCGCTGCCCTACTTCAAGGTCATCACCCGGCAGCTATGCCGCTGCCCACCCAACCGCCATGCCTGACTCTGTCCGAGCTTCCTTGATGCGGCACTACCCCCACTGGGGCCTTCCTGATGCAGCGCCTAGCAAGGAGATGAAGATGGTGTCTACCATAGCCGGTAAGTACCCCGCCACTCTCCTCCTTGGTCCCCTTCTCCCTCCTCCTCCTACCGGCAGAGCTCCACCATAGCCAAGGTGGAAGCTCCCGGCTTCTTCCTCCCAGCAGCGCTGTAGTGCCCAGCGCTCCTCCACCTAGCGCTCCAGCAGCGTGACGCCCAACTCGCACACTGAAGAATGAGGCTGGGCTCTCCGCCCTGCCTCTTGATATAGCGGCCTACTTGCCTCCTGGGCGGTGACTTCCAGGCCGCTCGGCCTCTCCAAGCAACCGGTACCTCCTCCGTTTCGGAGGGAAACATCATTGCAGACCCTGATATTACCCGTACAGGCTCTAGACTCAGACTGGTTGGACTGGTACCGGCCTAGACCTACCCTACCGCTACTGGACTCTAAAAATGCCAACTTTGTCTTTTTCTGTTCGGCCTCCAGTACCCCCTCACGCCAACTGCAGTGGGGTGCAGTATCGGCCTACCGGCCTACTTGAGTGTTTTTCCGCTACCTCAAGGGCCTCAGGGCCGCTAGCTTCGCCACTTGAGTGTTTTTCCCTGCTGCAACCCTCAATGCCACGGCCACAGGCCCTGCGGGTCTACCAAACAAGCAAGTACCCTTGCGGGTCACACACACACTCATACCAACAAGCACTCAGACAGGCATGCAGGTCACAAGCACGCACACACAGACAGACTTAGAAAACACAGAATGTGGGAATCTCCGCAAGGCATCCATTCCATCGGCAGAACTTCAGCAATCAGCAGTGTTCTCAGTCTGTGTTTTGACGGGTCATTACAATACTAAAAAATAGTAAAATACTGCAAGTTATCCGTTCGAATTGGAACGATACAGAGACGTTTGGCATGGGCGCTGCGCAAGGAGGACACAAATACGTCAAGAAAAAGGAGGGAAAAAAAAAATCAGAGATATGTAAAGGTCATGTAAATATGGATCCTTCACAGGAGCCTTACTGATGCCTTTCTTTTTATTTATTTTTTGGGGGGGATTTTGGACCATTTCTTGATTTATGCGCATCTTCTCCTGCGCAGGCGCCATGCTAATACCCTATGTATCGTTGCACGTCCCAAAAGAGAGCCCGGCTGATACTCGCAAAGTCCTGGGAAAAAAAAAAAAAAAAAGATACTCACAAAGTCAATCCCATAAAGGATCTGCTCGAGGATGAGAAGGGTCGCCAGAACAAGCACACACACTGCCAGTGACAGAAAAAGCACAGAAACGCAAAACAAGAAGAGAAATCGGACAGCTGAATGAGTTGTGGTGGTGTGACAAATATGGTTTTGAAGCTTGAATCCACGACCTGCACTGCACAAGTTGTATTACAACGGACCCTTTTTTTTTTTTCTCCCACCAAAACCCACAGCTATGTCTATTGGTGGGGAGCATAACCTGCTGGAAACCGGGTCCAGCGTCCCTTTTAAAAACATCCTTTTGAAACACTTCTGCTGGAAACCGGGCCCAGCGTCCCTTGTGAGTTTTTACTATTTTACAAAACAGGGTCAGGCTTCAGGGAACGTCCAGAGTCCCTGAGGGGCATCGAGGACTTCTGTTGTCCCATGGCCTGTCACGCCCCTCTAGAGTAAAGAAAGATAAGATAAGATGAGCGCCCCCACCTTTGGAGCCAAGAATGCTGTGGACACATTCGCATCTCATCTCTGACCAGCAAACTGTTTTTTGACTGCCAGTCTGGGCCAGAGTATTATTGCACCTCTGCTGGTTTGTCCTATGTATTCAGAACCTGAAAGGTACACTGAGTATTTGTTGATGATCACTGTGAGAACGAACCTTCTGTCACAGTTGACGTTGGCTTTTGGGGGTGTACTTAGTCCAGTGATGATTCCACCAGGTCCATAGGGCTGGAGAGGCCGGACAACCCCACCAGAGATGTGCAGCCGCTTACTCTGCGCCGCAGTATCTTGGACATAAGTACTTCTATATCAGCTCCTCTGGTCGCTAGCCACGTAAGTAGCCAAAGGGATGGCTCAGTGCAACTGTGACGACAAAGGACTGCTAACCCTATTTCAGGGTGCAGTATCTATCAGTTCTCAGACCTTCAAAATTGCCTCAGGAGTCAGGACTGAGATGTCCTACTTCTGCTTCACTCTTGAGCTCAGTGCATTCAGGGTTTGGGAAATTTTCAAGAGTGGGCTACAGTGAGCTGCTCACACACACTGGGTGGAATTGGGGCTGTTGTGGGGAAAATCTAAAACACACACACACACACACACACACACACACACACACACAC